CAGTGAAATAGCCAAAATAAGAGCTCTTTTTTATTGAATTTTTGAGGAGGACGGCGGCGGGCGGCGGCGGTCTGTAGTTGGGGGGCTGGTGGGGAGGGGGTGGGGAGGGGGAGAGGGAGGGAGAGAGAGAAAAAAAACGCGGATTCGCCGGCTCCTAGCCACCCTCGCCAGGAGAGGAGAGGGAAAGGGAGGAGGGGGAAAAGGAAAAGAAAGAAAAAGGCGAAGGAGAGCTCGGAGCCGCCGCACTTTTTGCGATTTCCAGGAATAGAGAAGGACCGCGGAGCCTCCAAAAGTCTAAGCTCGCATGGCAGCCGGCTCGCTCGCCCTCCCCCCACCCCCCACCCCCCAAACAAAAATCTACCGCCACTTCAAGAGGTCCTCGCTTTACATTTCGAAGAAAGGATGCCAGTTCATAAACAGTTTTCGGTGATTTACTTCCCTGCAAATGAGTTGTTTCATATTTTGCACTGTCTTTTCATGATCATTTGCATCCATTAGAGACCCCGCATCCTATTGGCTTCTCCGTACTCCTCCCGGACAGAACGCAGAACGAGGGTGAGAGCGAGAGAGAGCGAGCGAGCGAGAGAGCTAGAGCGAGCGAGCGCCAGGGAGTGAGGAGAGCGCGAGGGGGGGGGGAGGAGGGGAAGGAAAAAAAACACCCAGAGAGAAGGGGGGGGGGTAGAGAGAGGGGGAGAGGGAGAAGGGGGGAGAGAGAATGAATACGGATTAAATCTGTTTAACTACCTACATTAATGAGATATCTCTTCCCTCACAACAAATCAAATACCTTCGCAGACCACCCCCAAAGACTGATGTGGGGGAGTCACGGAAAAAAAAAAAAACCCACAACCAGGCGCACACACAGAGACCCAGCGCCAGACGCAGGCAACGCTGTTAATTTCGTGATTTTTAACGAGGCAGTTGAAGTCTTTTTAAATGTCAGGGTCGCTTCGGAAAAATGTAAAAGAACGCGGCTTAATTGCGCTGAGTTTTAAAAGGTCCGATAAATGTAATTGGTATTTTAATACAAGTTATCAAATCATACAGCTTCCCCTCCTAAACATATTTTCCAACAAACGAGGTAGTCATATTTAAAGCTTTAATGATCAATTTCCTTATTATTGATAAAGGTTTAACTGTCGTGTGAAGGGAATTGGCTGGGTAGCCGGCCCCCCCAGAAACAACGCCTGTAAACTCTTTAACAAACTATAAAACGCAATAAAGCCGGAGTCTGTTGTTGTTTATGCCGCAGCGCATAAAAGCTGTTAGCATTTTACGAGTTCTTTCCTCTACAGCTATAAAACTGCAGCTTCGATCGCCCCCGCTGCACGGCTGCAGCTCGGTGGGGGTGGCAAAGCCAAAATGAAAACGATTATGGGTTGGTGGGGTTTTTTTTTCGGTGCAAACGGTGGCTTTTCCGCGAGTTTTTGCCTCCTTCAGCTGTGCAGAGCACCTGTCCCCACCCCCTCTCTGGAGCCCCCAGACCACCACCCCCAGGCCACTCACCAGCGTTTCCCTATTCAATAAACAAGCCAGGCTTTTCTTTGGAGAAGGGGTCTGGGAGGGTGTGAGGAGGGACC